GAAACGGATTGAACTGGGGTAATGCTTGTTACCATTCAGTCCAGAACCTTTGTCTTCTTGTCTGTTGTCAAAAGACATAAAAATTAGAATATACAGAACTATAATTTTGCCTGTGGTTCTGTATGGGTGTGAAACTTGGTCTCTGACATTAAGGGAGGAACATAGACTGAGGGTGTTTGAGAACAGGGTGTTGAGGGGAATATTTGGACCAAAGAGAGATGAAGTGACAGGAGCTTGGGGAACACTGCATAATGAGGAGCTTCATAACTTGTACTCTTCTCCAAGTATAATTAGAATGATCAAGTCAAGGAGGATGAGGTGGGCAGGTCATGTAGCACGAATGGGGGAGACGAATGCGTATAGGGCATTGGTGGGAAAGCCAGAAGGTAGAGACCACAGGGAAGACCAAGGCATAGGTGGGTGGACAATATTAGAATGGATCTTAGAGAGGATGGCATGGTATGGATTGGATAGATCTGGCTCAGGATAGGGACCAGTGGAGGGCTCTTGTGAAAACGGTGATGAACCTTTGGGTTCCATAAAATGCTGGGAAATTCTTGAGTAGCTGCAGAATTGGNCTCCAGAAGGGCTCAGCTCCATGAGTAAGTAAGTAAGTTAGGGATGCATTAGTTCTCAAAATTTGTGCCAGGGCTCTTGATAGAAGAGGACAGAATTCACTGCAATTCAAATGAGAATGACAATTTTTTAAATGTCATTAGAGATGTAACTTGGGTTTAAGGGAATGATACTGCTATCATCACTGTTGAAGGGACTTGATTCACTTTAAGCAAAAAAAATGTATGTCACAAGCATTTGAAATTGAAAATAGTGTATATCCTTTTTCCTGTTATCACACCATTCATCATGAGTTTATTTTGGTTGATTATTCTGCTGATTAAGGTTATTTTCTGGAAGTTGTGAGGCGTGTTTAAGAAACCAAGTGGAAAAGTGTACTATAGGAGCATGACACCTCCGTGATGGTGCACCAGGTGACGTGTTTTGTTGAATGGAGGTTTCTTGACAAACGTTAGATTCTTGCCTTTCCACAACCTTCCTGTGTGAAGGGCATAAGTGAAACAAAGGTATAAGCCTTGAAATAAAGTTTGTATTGATGAATTTGGGGAACTCCTCATGTAGTGCTTCTTTGTGTTGATGCATTGATATCTTGGAATTCATTGTGTTATGCTATTCCCATTTGTTTACCAACTTTTAATTTGTTAATGAATGTCAGAAAATGCTTATGAGAATAAGTATTTGCTCCTCTATTTTTGTGTGATATTTTGGAAGTAAAAATTTAAGTTGAAATTCTAAATTTGTGTTGGAGATGTAATTTGCTTCATTCATGTGTGTGTGTACCCTAGAGTGACCAACTCTCCTGTATTAGAGCTAATTTTTTTTGGATCTTCCCGGCTCCCGTATTGACCTTCTATTTCTCCCGTATATTTCATTAACAATCAAGATCGCAAAATTTAAATTATATATTATTCTTGCCAAATACATTCCGATATAAACTGTCATTATTATTGACAGTTTAGACTTAAAGGTACTCATTGATAAATATCGAAAAGTTACCTATAATAATCGATATAAAGTTTAGCATATACTAATCGATAGCGGAATATCTGTTTCCAGATTGTAATATTTTCTGTTCTTGCTTCTTGCCGTGTTTATCCTCGTGCTTTTAAATAATTACCAAATTTAATCCATTTTCATAATAAGTAGTGACAGTGAAAGTGAAAGCAACAATGCAAAAACTCCACCTAAGAAGAAAACTAAATACTTGTGTGTTTACTTGAGAAAATGGGAAGAACAATATTTATGGTTAAAGTCCATGCCCTCCAACGTTTACAGAGCTTATTGTATACTTTGTAAACGCGAGTTCAGCATCGCTCATGGGGGTAATACCGACTGCAGACAACATTCTTGCACAGAAGGGCATAAACGAAAGGAAAGACGTGAGTTCAGCATCACTCACGGGGGTAATACCGACTGCAGACAACATTCTTGCACAGAAGGGCATAAACGAAAGGAAAGACGTGAGTTCAGCATCACTCACGGGGGTAATACCGACTGCAGACAACATTCTTGCACAGAAGGGCATAAACGAAAGGAAAGACGTGAGTTCAGCATCACTCACGGGGGTAATACCGACTGCAGACAACATTCTTGCACAGAAGGGCATAAACGAAAGGAAAGACGTGAGTTCAGCATCACTCACGGGGGTAATACCGACTGCAGACAACATTCTTGCACAGAAGGGCATAAACGAAAGGAAAGACGTGAGTTCAGCATCACTCACGGGGGTAATACCGACTGCAGACAACATTCTTGCACAGAAGGGCATAAACGAAAGGAAAGACGTGAGTTCAGCATCACTCACGGGGGTAATACCGACTGCAGACAACATTCTTGCACAGAAGGGCATAAACGAAAGGAAAGACGTGAGTTCAGCATCACTCACGGGGGTAATACCGACTGCAGACAACATTCTTGCACAGAAGGGCATAAACGAAAGGAAAGACGTGAGTTCAGCATCACTCACGGGGGTAATACCGACTGCAGACAACATTCTTGCACAGAAGGGCGTAAACGAAAGGAAAGACGTGAGTTCAGCATCACTCACGGGGGTAATACCGACTGCAGACAACATTCTTGCACAGAAGGGCGTAAACGAAAGGAAAGGGACATAAAGACCTCTTCAAATTTACACCCCTTTTTCGGGAACAGCAGCAGAGACTTCAAAAACGTTTCAGGTGAGCTAGCGTTGGTTTTCCAGTGCACAACATCGGCTACAGAAGTATGGATTGCGCAAATAAGTTATTGAAGGATATTTTCCATGACTCTAACATGGCTAAGAAGGTGTCCTGTGGCCGAACAAAGGCAGAGGCTGTTGTGAAAAATGTTCTAGTGCCAAGAAGTGTGCAAGACTTCATCGATGTGTTGAAGGATCCAGCAAAATCAAGCAACTTTTTCTCTATTGTAACTCATGCCTCCAACCAAAAAACAAAAGATATTCCCGCTGGTTGTGAGGTATTTTGACCCTCTTAGTGGTGTTAAAAATAGGCTCCTGGACTTCATTGAACAAGCTGATGAAACAGCTAATGCTACCCATAATTTGATCAAGTCTTCACTTGATACACACAAGTTATATATAAAAAATCTAACTTCATATTGTGCAGATAATGCAGATGTGAATTATGGGAGGCATAATTCTGTGTTCAAACTACTACAAGAAGATAACAAAAATGTGTTTAAAGCAAACTGCTCAAATCATATATTGCATAATGCCACAAANACAAAAGATATTCCCGCTTGTTGTGAGGTATTTTGACCCTCTTAGTGGTGTTAAAAATAGGCTCCTGGACTTCATTGAACAAGCTGATGAAACAGCTAATGCTACCCATAATTTGATCAAGTCTTCACTTGATACACACAAGTTATATATAAAAAATCTAACTTCATATTGTGCAGATAATGCAGATGTGAATTATGGGAGGCATAATTCTGTGTTCAAACTACTACAAGAAGATAACAAAAATGTGTTTAAAGCAAACTGCTCAAATCATATATTGCATAATGCCACAAAACATGCATATGATGGATTAGATGTGGATATTGAAATGATCATCTTAAAAATATATGGACACTTATCGGTATCAGCAAAAAGAAGAGAAGAGTTGAAGTCATTCTTTGATCTTGTTGATGCCGAGTGGTTGGAGATTGTTCGTCATGTGCCCACTCGTTGGCTTTCCCTAACATCAGCTGTGGACAGATTAATACAAAACTGGTTACCTATTAAGAGTTATTTCAAAAGTGTGAATGACTGTCCACAAATATAAAAAAAACATTTCATTGATAAAGATCCAGAAAAGGAGTGTGTTATTGAGGCATATCTTAATTTTTTTTTCCAACATTGGTGCAGTACTTGTTCAATCTGCCAAAATTCTTGAAACTGCTAATCTTAGAATCATGGAATGCTACAGTGTAATGCAATATGTAGGCAATAAAATTCAGCAGAGGATAGAGGACAGGTTTTTTGGTACTGCCACAGAAAAAATTTTGAACTGTTTTGAGTCCATCTCTGCAGAAATGTGCTAGAGATGATTTTGTTAGTTTCTACTGTTGCTTGCACAAGTACATTTCTAAGAATTTTGAGTTATCAAATGCAAATCCTGTCCATTGTCTTTTGCCATTAAATTTAAACACTGAACTTTCTTTCAGACATTTTCAAACCATTGTAAAAGAATTTAATCTTGATTTTGTAAATGAGGACAGCCTGTATGAAGAGTTTTCTAGTGCAGAAAGTGTTCTGAATGTGGTAAAAACAGGATGTATTGAACAAAGTTGGGTCAATATTTTCAGTGATTTAAGAAACAAACAAACTGATGTGCCAAACCTTATTAAGATCCTAGGCTTTGTTTTAAGCATCCCAGGCTCAAATGCCCATACTGAAAGAATTTTTTCACTGATGAGCAATAAATGGACTGATCAGCGAAATCAAAGCAGCTTAGAACTAATTAAGTCAGAGCTAATGGTAGCAATTAATTATAACTATAGTTGTAAAGAGTTTTTTAAATTTGAGCAAGAAGATAAAAAAATGCTTAGTTCTGCAGCATCAGTGGACAAATACATATAGGAGGTTAGGACTAAGAAACATGCAAATTTGTAAAATTTATACTATATTGTGACCTGTATATTATATACAATGTAAATTAATTGTTTTGTTTAATATTATCCAATCCATAAACATTTGCTGGACTGACTCCGTGCTGCTAAAAATGCGCAAAATTTTTCGTGACTAAATCTTTAAATTCATGACCGAAAGTTGGTCACCCTAGTGTACGCGCATTTTTTTCCCAGTATGAAATTTATCATTACTTCCAAGAGCTTTCAAGCTGCACATTCAAATAGCTGTTTCGATGGTTTGGTGCATGGAATGTTTCTTACTACATTGTGTGCTACAGGTTATGTGTTGGCTAACGAACCATTTTGTTTCATAGCTATGGCAGAAGGAAATGGAGAAGTTTCGATGGAAGAAAAGCCAAATGTGAAACAGGAATCACAAGATGCCAAAGTGGATAGGACAGAAGACTATGCAAAACTTGTGGAATATGGTCTGGATGAGAAAGTAGCTGGAAAGCTTGATGAAATCTACAAGACAGGTATATTTCATGTTTTAAGATTACACCATGCTAATTTGCAGTTTGCTGTAATCATTCTGGATTCTGGAATGGTAAAAATACGTGTTTATAAGAATGTGTGCTAGATGTTCTAAGCAGTACCTGGCATTCAGTGGTATTTGACTTCCTTACACAGTTTGTGTAAATGTTTGAAAAATCTTCTCATTTTTAAGATCGTGATTTGACTTCGCACGTAATATACAGCGAACATAGTTGGTAATTTTTATGTGCCAGAGTTCAGAATTCAAACCATCAGTCTTCAGTGGGCCTGTTTTGTGACAAATACATATTGTCGCGTATCGCGGGGTATATCGCGACAAATTCTCGATGTATTCGATGTAGCGAATTTTATTTCACATTCGCACTTACAATCACCCAAATTACAGATTCACGATTACTGCTATCTGCAGTATCACAATTAGTACACTCCAAATGCCACAATACAACTGACTGGCTGACTTTACGTCTTGACTCGGTGACTGTTACTTTATAACTCGCTGGTAGCCACATTAGAACTCAGTACAACTGACTGTGAATAGCCTTCGCTGCTCCCTATGTAGCCTCGATCGGACAGTATGGGAAAACGGCCACGTAATAGGCACCCTTGTTGCTATGTCGCTGTGTTGCTATGTAACGCTAGCGGAGGTAACCGCTGTTACTATTGTAACGTCGCCGCTGTTGACTCGCGTTGCCTAGCGACCGCGATATCCCTCGGTGACGTCACCGCGGAGGGGAGTGGCGGGGCGGGAACTCGCCTATTACCGTAAGAACGCGAGCGTTACGTTACCGCCACGTACCGCTGGGGAGGTAGGGGTCAACATGTCACACTGCTCCCTCCTTAAGGCTGTTCGTCCCGAATAGCCTAACGGTGCATCCCCGTTCCTTTTCCTCGGTGGCTGTTCTTGCAGCATCTCCTGTTGTTGCGGCTACTCTTCTTGCAGCGACTATTCTTCGTCCGGT